GTTTTCGGAAAACCGGAAGTCGTATCAGTTGGAAAAGTTATAGCAACCCAAGTCAGACAAGTTTGGAGAAAGTTTGGTGGGAGTAGTATGATAGGTCTAGGAGGAGATGCATATAGAAATTAGTCTCAGAAGAAAAAAAAAAAAAAAGAATGCTAAGTTTATGTAATATAACCGTATGTTGGCTTTCTCAAGCCACCAAAATTATTCTTTGTTCAAAATCTACATCATTGTTATTAATCTACAAAGAGTTGCATTTTAATCCCTTAAAGAAATCAGTCATATTGCCAAGTCATTTTCCATCTAGGCAAGAATAGAGGGATGAATGGCGTGTCAAGACAGGACAAGTGAGGAATGCCTCTAGGTGGACCAACAACAGGTAATAAACAGGATGGTGATGGCTGTAGACCCACCTTTGAGGGTTAAATATTCCAAATGCCACATGCAAACAACATAAGGGTTTCTGCAGGTTTTATGAAGGTACATTTAAGACCCTTGTTTAGGACTAAGTAAACAAATGTCAGTGTCAGTCTTCTGTAAATGCACATTTTCATGTCAGAAAAAAGCTTGAAGCTACAATTTCTACAAAAAAAAACCCTAAATATAACAACTAACGGAAAATTTAAATAATGTTTACTACATCTTCAGATCCCACTGCACAAATAAACATTGTTTCTCCTTATATTTGTCTAGTTTTCAAATCCAAATGTATAAAAACTGGCTCAGATGTACTGTAAAGTTCTACTTTGAACGTTTTTATGTTGTTAAATTGAAAAAAAGGACTCAGTGTGTTTATATCACCCTAATATGACCACCTATACACTATATCTACACATATTTCTGTCCGAACAGCTTGAAAAGGAGATTTTTCACCATAGATGCCCTTTAAGAGGTTTGAAATATTTAATTGTTTGAATATAATAGTTTTAATGTGATATTGAAATAGGTGCTGCATACTTTCCATTCAATAACTTATAATAATTAACAAAAAGATCACTGGGGGTGAGAAAACAGCAGTTCAATCTACAATTCATAGTACTGTGATGTCATAACACTTAAACTTTTTTTTTTCAGGTCATTTCCAATACAGATCACATTTTCAGTTTCTACTTTAGGCTGTGTGTGCACTCCTGCATTTACTTTTTAAAATGCTCCTCATCCCGACTGTAGTTTTTAATTAATAAAAAAAAATGTTTGGTAATCAATTAACACGAAAATCATTTAATTTTGTCCTGGTGCAGTAGGTGATTCTCCTTAGAAACATTTTTTGTTGTGCTGGTTGAAAGTCTCTTCACATTCCAATAGTACTGATTAAAGTAACTGATCTAAATGTATTTATATGTACTTTTATATTCTGGTAAGGCATGAGACTAAAAATGGTCACCCAATTAAATATTGTCAGGCTGATAATTCCCATGATTCTGATAAGTAGCCCAATCTGTCTGTCAACAAATGCAGATTTGAACAACTGCGCAACTCTGTTCACGCAGATCGGCCGATGCGTGTTTACGTGGGGCGCATTTATGTGGACACGAGTGACAGTGCTAAAATTAAATGCTAAATCAAAACTTGTTAAAATCCTGAATTAATATTGGAGTTTCTTTTGCATGCTGGAGGAAGGACGACATCATGGCTGAAGCATTTTTTTTTAGACAGGTAATGTTCTGTTTTAAAACTATTTTAGTCACACAAAGCTTATATAGATTATGTTGTTACGAATGGGTTATATGCACAGAAGTATTGTTCAGCCACTTCAGCCCTTTCATAAGGGACCATTCACAGCATCAATAATGTAGATTTTTATTAAATTTAACAACAAAACACCAATAAACAGCACTATTCAGCTATTAACGTTGGTTTTGGATTCACATTGGTTAATTTTTTAATAATGACAACCTGTGACAAGCTCACTATATTTTTTACCATGCTACTTTGAATATTGGGTCTGACTTAGCATGTAAGTACGGCTTAGTAATAAGAGAAGAGTTCAGATGCAAAAGCCGCTAAATGCCACTTCTGCCAAAAATGAGCTAATATCATTGAGGGAATGTTTTAAGCACGTAGTACATGTTCAACAAATATTATATGCTTCAAATCATCTAAACAGCAGCGTCAGTGCATTCAGAAATAACAGTTTGTTAAACGGCACTTGCCTTTGACAGCAAAAGCCGCTGTGTCCACAGAACCAATCAGAAGGCGCAAATTGAATCATATGTTTTTAATGTAGCAGCACGCTGATACGCCGGCTTTTTAGGAAAGCGTTTTTTTTTACACTTTCGATTAGGATTTTAAAAGACGGAGTTTGATGAACTGGATGAGCCCGTCCGACTCTCAGTGAATGGCAAATGAAAACATCCCTTACCTCAAAACTCTTTCTCAAAAAAAAAAAAACACTCTGTACATTCGGAAGTGTAGCATGCATTCATAAAATTGTAATTTTTTTTTATTGCGCAGCGACGATACGTTGAATAAGTCCGATTTACTATACATTAAACGGCAACTCACGAAAGACGACGTTAAGATACCATTCTTTTATCCCACATGGATGCTATGACGATGAACAAGAGACGAAAACGAGACCAACACCTTGAGTATAGCAAGAAATAATGAATGGCAGCTTGTGAAAGTGTCTGAGAGACATCCCCTTTTTGGCCAGTAGGCCTACCTCGTGTTTTATTTGCTAATGTAATTTATTTTTTAAAGATAAATATAATGTATAAAACTATACATTATTTACATTACTTATAATACCTATACGTCTGATAAGCTTTTTCATATTAATAGACAATGCACAGATTTTAATGTTTCACAATGTTTTTACACTGCATTATTTGAATCTAACAAGCTTAGTTTATGATGTTTACATTGTTCTACTTACATTAAATCTAAATCCCAAATATCAGAAATTGCAACAGATTAATTTTGTATTAATGTAAATTTTAATGGTATTGATTATTGCACTTATTGCACACAGATTCCATTCATTCATTTCCTTCTGCTAAGTCCCTGGTTTATCAGACGTTTTCACAGTGGAATAAACCGCCACTTACTTGACAGAATCAAGTATTTGTAATTTTAAGTGGTTTGTGTAGTGTTTTAGGTTTAGTAAAATAATTTCTAATTGCAATTTCTTTAGTGATTATTCAACTAATTACACTTGTCTTTTCCCAATATGTGGATTTAGAGGTTTTTGCATAAAAAGCACACATGGATTTAGCTGGTTTTGACCCCCCCCCAAAAAATCTACCTTGTTAAAAACCAAAGAGTGATATTTAAGAAAACAGTTATTTTACTCACTAGCTAATAACATTTTCATTATCTATAAAATGAAACTTCTGAGCCTAATTGTAGGAGCCCGATAGAAAATGCTCATTTACAAAAAAAAAAAAAAAAAAAAAAAAGAGGTCTGATGGATTTAGAGGGTTTTGTAACTGAACTTTTTAAGTGTAATTCCTGCACACTGCCGGCCAAACACTAAGCATACAGTAGTCGCTTTTGAACCATGCATGTGAGAGAGTGAGACTGATAAGTGAGACTGATGAGAGAGTAATGACAAGGTTTGCTTGCTACACAACTGAAAACATGCTAGATATAATACAGTTTTTCAGTCAGAATTGTAGTAATATAAAATACAATAAAGTTTTCTACCTAGCGATTAACAATCTAGTGGGTCTCTGTCATTTTTAATATGCACTTTCACGATTTCAGGAGGCGTTGCTTTGGACGACAGGGGAGAGATTGTATTTGAAAAATATAATGCTAACCGGTTAGCATTAATGCAGATCACCAACTACACCTTTAACTAAATGCATTAAAAAAAAGTAATGCATGTGACATTTAGGGCTCTATCATACACCCGTCGCAATGTGACGCAAGGCACCACGCAATTGTTGTTTGCTAGTTTTTAGCTTGGCATAAGAGTCGTTTTGACGTTTTGCGCCATGCTGTTTAAATAGCAAATGAATTTGCGCTCATATGTGCGCCCATAGGAGTTCTGGTCTAAAAAAAGATGTGTGTTGCTATTTTGAAAAACTATAATAGATTTTTCAATAGACCAGAATAAAAACGGTCTATTGTCCAGCGCAGAGCGCGTTAGTTGTGCGCCTCGCTTAGACACTGCTTAATACACACAAGATGTAGAGCAATACGCAAATATATATGAAAAAGAATTAAAATATTAAGGATATATATATATATATATATATATATATATATATATATAGGATATAATAAGGATATATATAGGATTTAAATATAAAGGATTAAAATATTACTAAACGTTATTTTCTAGCCTACATAAATATGAAAAACCACTGCCTTCATGCCTTCATCACGGTAGGCTTTTTCAATTTATTCATATCAATTTTCTTTTGTATAATGTTCTTATAATTAGCTGTATTATTTATTATATGCATCTTTATATTTGTTTTATTAAAAATAAGTTCAACTCTTTTAGACCATGGGCCACGGTGCAAAGTGAATTTTTCCGTCCTTATATTAGCAAAAGTGTATTCTGACACACCCTGAGTGCGTTTGCGCCCTGCGCTTTGCACTTTGCGCATGGACCATCAAAACAGAGCTCTTAATGTCATGACTATAAATTTTAGACTATCTGCTCTCATTAAGACCCTTCTAAACGGATAGTTTGTCATCTACTCACCATTTTATTTGTTTTATACCTTAAACACAAAGGATATTTTTAAGAATTCTTAAAAACCTGTAACCTTTGATTTCCATAGCATTTCTTTTTTCTGCTATTGAAGTCAATGGTTACAGGCATTCAGCTTTCTTCTGAATATCTTATTTTGTGTTCAGTAAAAAAAGAAAACCTTATAAAAGTCTGCAACTACACAAGTGAGAGTACATATGGAGAAAATTTTCATTTTTAGGTGAACTATCCCTTTAAAGGCTTAATTTGTGAAAGGGAGAATTAAATCAATAATAAAAGTCCTGCAGTAGCTCTGATAGCATGCTGTTATGTACAAACAAAAATAGTGTTTTACCTCCCACGGGCTCTTCTTCCTCTTCAACTCATCACACTTTCTCAGTTTGCAGATCTGGTGTCCGATCTTTCGGTTTAGGCAATTGCTACAGGTCCCGCAGTTCTCCTTCCTCATGCATGGCCCACAAACGCCGCATCTCTTCCTTTTCTTTTTTTGGGCCACCACAGGCTCTATTGGTTCCTGGTCCTCCATCTGCGACAAGGAGAACATGCCAGCTTGCTCATGCTCAGACCTGATGTAGTCGTCCGCAGGCGACACCACCCTTGCGCTCCTGGCCCCTAGGAAAACTTTAGGGTCCTCCTCGTCCAGAGAGAATTCATAAATGTCCTGGACTGGAGGGCCAGGGCCTCCCCTCAGCTTGTGCATACTGAGGGTCCCACTCTCTTCCAAGACAAGAGAGCGGTAACAGTGGCCGGATTCAAAATGTAAAGAATTAAAAAGTATGGTTCCTTACAGCACAACGCAGACCTGTCCATAAAGTGTGTGTGCTGTGTAGTGGCCACAAGGGAGAACTATTGCACAGACGTTTAAAGGGTGGACACAGGACGGGCTCCTTACTGCGAGGAGATGCCAGGCATGATGTCATTCACCTGCAGGTGTGTTGGGAATACGGCTGCAGGTGATGGGGATCATCTCTCTCGATGTCATTTGGATGTAAACAGAAGGGTCAGTGCCACTTAAGGCAGTTTGGCGACTGTATGGAGAGAAAGAGAGATTGTGGTTTCGATATATTTCAGTTTTGGTGAAAATTATTATCTTGTAAATAAATCAGAATATATTGATTGTATGCATGTCCATATAGAGTGAATTATCTGTAATCAACAACAATTTTGATTACAATATAATAAAGAAAATGATGAAAATGTCTAAGAAGTCCATGTTAACATCTATATCATAACAAGAATGTTTGTTTCACTTATTTTCAGTAATGTAATGACACAAATGCTTCTATTAAACTGCTATTAATCATTCTATTTAAACTTAATGTGATTATAACACAAGAACAATTATGAAGATGCACCTATCTGTCTATTCATCTATCTATCTGCCATTCTATCTATCTTAATATCTATCTATCTTACTATCTATCTATCTATCTATCTATCTATCTATCTATCTATCTATCTATCTATACACATATTGGCATTTTACCTATGTAGTAATATAAATATGTATGTAATATAAAGGTTCTTCTAATATAGTCTATCCATCCATTTGTCCATCTATCTGTCTATCTATCTATCCATCTATCTATCTAGTTACACATTTATCGATATTTACCTATGTAGTAATATGAATATAGTTTCTTCTAATATAAAGCTGTCTATTAATCCAACTGTCAATTAATCCATCCATCCATCCATCCATCCTTCCATCCATCCATCCATCCATCCATCCATCCATATTTACCTACGCAGTGATATAAAAATGGGTGTAATATAAAATGTATTCAAATAATGTCAATCTATCCATCCATCTATCTATCCAGTAACATCCATATTTATCTATGCAGTAATACAAATACTGATGTAGTATAAAGTTTCTTCTAATATAAAGTATGTCTATCTATCGCTACACATATATCAACATTTATCTATGCAGCAAAATAGATATGCGTGTATTATAGTTTCTTTTAATATAAAGTCTGTCTGTCTGTCTGTCTGTCTGTCTATCTATCTATCTATCTATCTATATCTATCTATCTATCTATCTCTCTCTCTCTCTCTCTATCTATCTATCTAGTTACACATATCGATATTTACCTATGTAGTAATATAAATATGTATGTAATATAAAGGTTCTTCTTATATAGTCTATTCATCCATTTGTCCATCTATCTGTCTATCTATCTATCCATCTATCTATCTAGTTACACATATCGATATTTACCTATGTAGTAATATGAATATAGTTTCTTCTAATATAAAGCTGTCTATTAATCCAACTGTCCATCAATCCATCCATCCATCCATCAATATTTACCTATGCAGTAATATAAAAATGGGTGTAATATAAAATGTATTCTCAAATAATGTCAATCTATCCATCCATCTATCCAGTAACATCCATATGTATCTATGCAGTGATATAAATACTGATGTAGTATAAAGTTTCTTCTAATATAAAGTATGTCTATCTATCGCTACACATATATCGATATTTATCTATGCAGCAAAATAGATATGCATGTATTATAGTTTATTTTAATATAAAGTCTGTCTATCTATATCTATCTATCTATCTATCTATCTATCTATCTATCTATCTATCTATCTATCTATCTATCTATATAGTTACACATATATCCATATTTACACGAAGCAATATAAATATGCATGTAATAGGCTATAAAGTTTCTTCACAAGCTCCATAAGAATGTTCACAAGACAAAACACATTTACAGTAACAGCCTGAACTCTGAAATCAGTTTTTTTTTTCAATCTCCTACATTGATGTACGGGGGGGGGGAACACCAGACAAAAGATATTGAAACACGGAAGGTACTACGTGCGAAATGTGAGAAAATGCTCGGTTAGAATGGCGAATCCCCATTAGACAGCTCTCCATTGCTCTTTGTTTGTCCTTTGAGTCTCAATGCAGGACTTTCGCTTGACGCTCTTTGTTCAGCGCCAGGGGACCGTCAATAAACTCAAATATTTAACGGTAACTACGGGTCACGCAGTCCACGTATTGTGTATTGTTAAGGTATTGTATAGTTTAGATACTCGTCAGTGGTGCGTCGTTAACGGAACGTTTTGATTCGCAATGTATTGTTTGATACAGTAGGCTAGCCTACTAGGCTAGTGAAAGGTAACAGGGTTTAAATCAGGAGTCCCCACTATAGCTGCTTCGAAAAGTTAATAATTACAACGTGCTAAGACGAGCACTGCATTTAACAAAAACAAACAAACAAAAAGATGGAGGTCAACCACTCTTCTTTTTATAAGGCGAGTATTACTTTTTTAATATTAGGTTAGCTTACGTTATAGCCTAAGATTTAGCGTCTAGAATGAGCAATCAACCTTGTCCTCGTCGTATTTGATATAAACATGGGCTGAATATTACTTTATTACAACAGTGATACGAGCTTTACTAGGGGGTATGTAAAAGCTGTAGTGAGCACATTTTTTTTATTTGTTTGTTTTTCTCCAGCACGTCATTAAACTTTTGATATAACATTATTACTTTTATTGGTTACCAATTAAAACAATATCGAAATATAGTCTAGACTGTAAAGTTAAACTGTGTACACATAGAAACACGACGAATACAATATGCCTACTGGTATTTTTATTATCTTATTTGGAATATTTCAGCTCAAGTACGTTGGAAAATCGCCACAAGCTTCTCTGATCTCTTCTGTTTTTAAAGCCTGTATATAATTGTAATCGGGGATTATATCAAATGAGGGAAAAGAATCTGCTGATTCAGATGAAACCAGATCTTTCTGACATTAGCTGCACCACAAATTAGGCTTCACCCTACCCAAAAAAAGATAATCTACTATTTACTCACCCTCAAGGCTCCAAACCTTTAAACTTATATCGTGTTCAACATAATAATAATAATAATCATAATAATAATAAACTAAAACAGGTTTGTGAGAAGAAAAATTGAGTAATTAATAACAGACTTGGCTATTTTTTGGGGGTGAGACATTCTTTTAAAGTCGCGGTCCTCGCGGATGAACAAAGTTTTCGTCCAAATCCTTCGTAATGTTAACCGTAGGACATATAATTAAGTGTAATAATTAATTTATACGTCTTATCTATCTATCTATCTATCTATCTATCTATCTATCTATCTATCTATCTATCTATCTATCTATCTATCTATCTATCTATCTATCTATCTAATCTTTACACATCCATATTTACATATGCAGTTATTGCAGTAATATAATAATGGACGCAAATAAAGTTTTTTTAATATAGTATATCCATCCATCCATATAGATAGATAGATAGATAGAAAGATATATAGATAGATAGATAGATAGATAGATAAGACGTATAAATGAATTATTACACACTATTTTAATTGCTTTATTATCACAAACTATGCCATTTTTAGGTCGTACGGTTAACAATGCAAACGATTTTGAAGACAAAACATTGTTTGGCGACGAGTTTAAACGAATTAGCTCACCCAAAACGTGTCATTAATTTATACGTGCTTAACTAACAGTTTTGCAACTATATACTATTTACGGTTATTTGCTAACATGTGAACGACTTTGGATGACAAAGAGTACTTGACAGATCACATAATCACAGTGTAAGAGCAAACAAACCCGCGTTAAAATGATGAAGTGAAAGTTTATCCCGCCATAAGGAATCCTGCATTATAGTTAAATGGCCCAGATATTAAAACCAGCCCAGTCAAGTGTCTCGCACGCGCACTTGAGCACGTGGCTCTTCACTTTGCCGGGCGCTTTAACTGGCGGCAAAAAAGAAGAGGTGTAAAAACCTGCAATGGTCGTTTAAACTGCAGCACATACACTTCTGTATTAGCTTTTCCGATTTATCTTGACAAACAAGTGACAGTTTTCCTTGAAAGGGTGAGAAAAACGACACATCATCAAGGCCCCCCTCTGAATAAAGAAAACAACACCCTGGGGCGCGTGTTACAGCTCTGTCGGGCGCGATCTGTTACAAAGAAACACATTTTAAGTTCTGAATAAACAAGGTATTTCGTTTGGAACGCGTTAGATACAGTGTAACAAAAGCAGTCCGAACGCTTTCCGCTGTTGTTACATTGATCGTTCCTATTAATACCTCACATAGCCTACTACAGTGGAAAAAGTTATCAGTAATCGATGTGTATTGGGCTAATCGCCTCATTAGCAACTCAAAAACTTAAACAAGAGAATACACATACTTCATTTAAGCTGAATAAGGCAGTTTCGAACACTTTTTTTGGTTTTTTCAGTTATAAAAAGTTTCCAGATGTGTTGTAGTAACGTTAGTAGTAGTAACATGCAGGACTTACCAAGCGGTGGAAACGTTCCAAGTGTCTTGTCAAAGCCCATTTAGATTGAAATGACGGTTTACTTATAAACAGTACATGCATGTGCAATTACACATCATTATAAATGACTAAAACGTCATTAATTTACCTTATAAGCAGTGCAAATAAGAAAAGCGTGTAGAGTTAATTTGCTACAACGGGTTAAAAGAAATGCTACAAGTCAAGACTTGACATGGCGAATTGTACGAGGAGAAAAAAAGTGGTCATTTCATTAGGGCAAAGACCCTTTAACTTTTCTTCGCCTCGTCTATGTACTTCAGGGAAGTTTTAAGAGTTAAACGACGATGAGGAGGAGGAAGGAGAGCCTGTGAGAGACTGAAGTAAGTTGTGGAGTGGAGTTCAGAGAGTGCCGCGGACTGAGGGGTTAAAATTACGTCATCAAGAGGACTACATGTCATGAACAAAATTTAAGTGAACCTAGAGTCTTTGATTCATCTTTTTATGAATGTGAACATTCAAACATTTTTGGGAGGATCAATCATTATATGTCCAAAAAAAATAAATAAATAAATAAACAATCAGGTTTTAGTTGTAATTTGACCCCCAAATATTATTATTTTTGTTCCAAACAATTTATCTGTGGAATTTATAAAGATTCTTTCAATTTTATTTGGTAAATTTCATGTTCATAAATGCAGATTAAATAACTCTAAAACTTGTTTAAAGGTTATTATATTATAGATTTTCATTTGTATAGAATCGCTGCAATATACTAACAGCAAAAAATGTAAATATACAATTATAGTGGCAAAAGAGCTGAAGTTAATTGATGTCAATTGGATAGGTTAAATAATATTGTAAAGATCTCTATGTTAAATTGACTTTTTATTTATTTAGTTTATGCAATTTATTTTTTGTTTATTTTATGTTATTAAATACATTTGTATTTTTGGATGTCATGTTTAAATTGTATATTTCTGTTGTTTAATAAAAAAAATGCAAGGGAAGGGATTAGAAGCTATTGATATAAACAATTTTATAAATGCTTTCATAGACAATTGGATTAAAAGATGTATAACTAGTTCAAATTCAATGTGTTTTTTTTTATTCCCAATTATTGGTTTAATAGAATTGGCGGTCTCCAATTTATTTTGAAATGTAAATTTGCCCAGAATAAACTTTTACCAGCAAGCATTACTGGCTTGGAAACTATGTTACTCTCATAACTTTTCTCCACATAAAACATTTTATGGAACAACACTGATATTAAAGTTAAGAATAAATCCTTATTTTTTTTCTAATTGGTACGACAGAGATGTATTACATATATTTTCCTCATTGACAATTTATGAACAATTTATGAAAATTCATCAATTTCCTATCCCATTTAAGAAATTTAACATTATTGTAAATGCTATCCCAAAAGAATTATTACACTTGACAACAATTCATATTTCATATATAAATAAAAGAACCATAAACCCTCATTATTATTAGAAGGTATTAGTATAAATGATAAGAAAAGCATCAACAAACTTATTCTTAGAATTCTTCAACAACAAAAAAATCTAATTGCGCAAGAGGGAAGTCATATTGGTCAGCGTTAATAAAAGATATGGATTGGAAAAGAACATGGCTTCTCCCATATGTAATCCCAAACAAAGCAAAGGAAATCTATTTTAAAATTCTACACAAAATATCAATGCATTTATTTCAACATTTACTGATATTGCAATTACTTGTTTTTTTTTTTTTTTGTCAGGGAAATGAGGGAACTTTGACTCACATGTTTTTACATGTAAAATCTTACAAAAGTTTTGGTCAGATCTACATAACTACTTGAATAAATCACAATCAACAAAACAAATCGTTAAATTGAATGATATTATATGTTATTATTCTAGTCCCAATAATAAAAATGAAGAATATATATAACTTTTTTATATTATATGCAAATTTCTTTATCAACAAATAAAAAAAAATTCTTAAATCCTCTCCCTTATTTGCCTATTTTTAATTTAAAATTGATTCCTTGCTTAAAGCTATACATTTATCAAACAACAAACAATTCTGCAAGTTAATAGAAACTTATGATAAACTTATGAAAATATCATGCTTCCAGTAAGTTGGTCTTTATTGCTGCGTTTTTTCATTTAATTTTATACTTCCCCTTTTTTATTTTGTTCTTTTTTCTCTTTCTATTACTTATTGTTCTTATCACTTTGTTATTATATATACTTGTATTCCAGTCTCCAACAGATTACTTCCTGATTTATATTGTACATTTCTTCTTTTCTAAATAAAAGTTTATTTAAAAAAATAATTAAGAGAAACAAAATGGTAAACGTACAAATGAAAGGAGCTTACTAAAACATACTTAACTCATTTTAATCACAAATTCATTTGCACACACCCAAACAGAATGTTTTCTGTGTATTTATTATTTCATAGTACTGTAAACAGTTTGTTTTCATCTGAAAAACAGCATGGAGGAAAGAAAAAAAACAACAACTATAGTAGCTAAAATCAAAACATGATTATATTCTTGTATTTCATTCTGTATCCTTAAGTAAACAAATCATAATTAATTGTCTAAAAACTACACTTTACATGAGTGGACGGGTGTAGTACTTGGCTTCAAGTCCATCTTTTTTAAAAGCATGTTGCATTCTGGTGTAAAACAACTGACACGGGACAATCAAGTATCATGTACAGCATTTGTTTTGGTCAGTTATGCTTCAAATAGTTTGGGTATGGTCAGGTACGCAATAATAAATACCATAAAGAAAATCTTTAATAACAATCAAACAACGCAGATTTATACTGTCAAAATACTACAGTAAACAAGCACTCAAAAGCTTCAGTGTTAAACCATTTGAAAATGGTTTACTTTGCACACAATCATTGGGGACGGAGGCCAAAACCAGTCTGTAATGGTAATATAAGTCTGTTCTGCCCGCCTCACATCTCAGAGGAGGACAGCACAGAACGATACACAACAGCAGAGTTCAAGCCTATGAAGAAACGAGACTAAAGTGTTTTAGATTGCGAAAACTGACAATAAAAAGGTCAAAGTAATAAAAAAAAAAAAAGAGACGTAGAATCAGTTACTGTCACTTTAACCTGGGCGGACATGTAACAGCACATCTGATAGTGTTAATACCAATATTTACCTCACCAGGAGTCATACTCTCCCAGAAAGGAGGACAGTCTAAGCATTTATTTCCTGAATTAATCCTGAAATGCATTCCAAAGGACATTACTCAAACCTGTTCCCTCTTTCTTCGTTGTCCCCAACCAATTTTATTAACTACGGAATGGAAGCTGAAAGTCGTCGTCTAGGTTCGCACTTGAAATTTGCCCGCCTTGGTCATGTATTTGATGCCTTTGAAAGGTTTGTACTTCTCGCCATACATGTCCAACCTATTTACTTTCAGACCTGTTGGGTGAGAAGGCAGAAAGCAAACATGTCAGGTGGAGAGCATATACAGTGGGAGAAATAATTATTAAAGACGTCATGTTTTTCCTGGGAATGATATTTCTAAAGCTTTATTTTCTTCCTCTGAAAGCATTTAAGAGTTTCCTTGGCTGTGTTTTGGATCATTGTCTTGCTGAAATGTCCACCCTGGTTTCATCTTCATCATCCTGATAATGTAGATGTTGGATTAAAGCAGCTAATATTCATTTACACTGATGAATGGCAGCAGGTGGCTGAAGAACTACTGAGAGATTTCAGCTGCTGTCTGGGCTTTCCATGTCTTTTTACACCTCCTTTTCTTCATGTGTTCAATACTTTTTCCCTGTGTCATTTCATTTTATTACACATGACTTCATTTGTAAACTAATTTGATTTGTTTTGGTTGCTACCAACATCCAGAGACAATTTTGAGTCAACAGCACCTTCAGAAATATGTTTTCTGAGAAAAATTTAACATGTTCAATACTTATTTCCCCCAATGTATGTTTATGGCACGACAGAGTCTTTAGGGAAGGGCTGTGACTGCAGTGAATCAATGAGCAGTCTAGATGCTCTGTCACAGGCGCAGCTGTTTAAACCATCCGTTTAACAATGCAAACAGCTCCACCTGCTGGCCGCTATATGCAATTATTCTCAGATGCTCATTTATTTATATGCACAATTGTGCTTTATTATATCTCCCTTGGGAGATGAAAGAAACAATTCATAGACTGAAGGTCATCTGCGAAAATTTACACATTATTCATTTATTTTACCAAAACAAATTCTCCAAGGTGCCTGAAACAAACATGATATTTGAATGAAAATAATGAGATATTTGACTGTAAGGAATTTTATATCCCCGGTGGCGAATTCTATAATACAATACACCCACGATTATATTTGAGCTAAAAGCAATTGCACATTTTCTCATGAATAACTTCCTGTCTGCCTACAATTACGCTGGGCACACACCACATGATGTTCACAGGTTGATTTTGAGACAATAGCTGTTTCTCAATTCCAAGAACACAGAGAACGGACTTGGTTTCTTGTTGAGACCGGTCTTGCCAGGTGTCCTCTGAGGAATGAACTCGGGAGACCACAGGAACAGAGAATGCATCTTGTGAGAAATGCTGGGTTCTTTCTGATGGTCTTGTGACCTTCACACATTTTAAATGGACAATTATTTAAACATTACAGCATTCATACAATAATTTATTAGTTTTCCCCCTTTTTTAAATATATACTATGCATAAAAACATTATAAATATACGTTGCACAATATAAATAAAACAGATTTTAATACGAACTTCAGCAAACAAACACCCTTAATGTGTTTATTCCTCTATTAAGATGTCCATGGTAATGTTTACTTTCACTGTTTCATTTAGGCAAACTTCTGAGGTAAATAAGTTACATCTCTGAGCTTTAATAATAAATCTAAATAAAATGCTGCACTTCCCAACTCCAGTTGCAATGACTTCTGGGACTTCTACAGGTAAATTGGTGCTCAAGTCTGCATCGGTGCGTCCTCAATATCAATAACGCATCCGGGAAGTTTCTCTGTTCTTGCGGTCTTGAGTATTGGAACTGAACTTTGGCAGCTGATGATGATGTTACACGAGAACACAAGACCACTGAAGAACACATATTGAGAAACAGCCAATGTTCTGACAATTGTCTTTGTGGTTCTAAAGATGATCTTATCAGATTTTCCTGTGGTGTGAGGTGATTTAGGAGTGAATTCATCTTTTCGGAAGAACATGTGGGATATTTATAATGATCAGAAATCCTGATGTGTTTGGGAAACCCAGAAGGCAAAATTATGTCAACAAGCCAGTGATTATCATGTGAAACTAAACGATATAGAATCAGAATGCTGACAGAAGCATGGCAAAAGATCATGGCGCTGATAAAAAAGAAATGGATTTAGACAGCAGAGATGGAGGATCATCTACATTTAGCAGACACTTTTATCCAAAGCACTTCAAGTCACTAGAGAGCAGTGATATAAACACAACAAAGTTTGTTTAGCTTATTTTGGGTTGAGGACAGTGGATTTTTGGCAACAGCCCCAATGTTTGTTTGTTCATCTGCCATGTTTATTCTCAATTCTTGAGACTTTGTGAGATTTCCTGCTCATATTCGGACTGAAAATCTGTGTGTGTGGTTGGTGTGCTGTCTTTATGAACGATAAATCGCATGTGACTTTCATGCGCATTATTCTGTGAAGCCTTCTCTGTAATCGGCTTTGAATATCCAGCACGTGTGTTCAGCTAAAACAGCATTTACTACACAAAGCCTTAGTTCTCTGTCAAGGGATGCAACATATCACATGCGATATCATTATGCTATAGTCAAATAATCATTCTGCGATATTGACAGCTGTTTGCATAGTTTCTCCATGAACTGCGGCCTTTTGTAGTAAATGTTACTAATGTTAAGCCTGAAAGCATGTGCAAATATCACATACTGCTAGGTCCATACATATTTGGACATCCACACAATTCTAACATTTTGGGCTCTATACACCAACACAATGGATTTGATATGAACAAGATGTGCTTTAACTGCAGACTGTCAGCTTTAATTTGAGGGTATTTACATCCAAATCAGGTGAACGCTGAAGGAATTACAACAGTTTGCATATGTGCCTCCCACTTGTTAAGGGTCCAAAAGTAATTGGACAATTTGCTTCTCAGCTGTTCCATGGCCAGGTGTGTGTTATTCCCTCATTATACCAATTACAATGAGCAGATAAAAGGTTGTGCTATTAGTATTTGCAATCTGTTACTGTCAACTCTCAAGATGAGATCCAAAGAGCTGTCACTATCAGTCAAGCAAGCCATCATTAAACTTAAAAAAACATCAGAGAGATAGCAAAAACAGTAGGCATGGTCAAAACAACTGTTTGGAACATTATTTTAAAAACCAAAGAACGCATCAGTGAGCTCAGCAACACCAAAAGACCCGGAAGACCACGGAAAACAACTGTGGTGGATGACCACTATATATTTTATATGCATAAATTTGACTTTGACATGCTGAAACTACTTGATTTAGATTTTGTGTTTTGACCTCATGCCTCTTCATTCATTTCACTATTTGTGTGCATGAGCTCGCTCAATGTGCATGAGCAAATGTGTCACATTGCAATTAGTTTTTATTTCGCATGACTTTTTAGAGCTCAAAATTAAGGATTTAGCAAATTCATCTCAGACCACATCAAAAATAAATAATTATTTCTTAGCCACAAATTTTAAATGTGTCAAAGCGAGCTAAATATAGCAGTGTTCATGCGCTTTTTATTAAACAAAATTTTTAGTGAATAAAATGACATTTAAAAAAAGAACTATCATCACGTATCTAAAATATGCACTATAATCTGTCCTAGACATGAATGGGGAGTTAATCTTATATTAATGCAATGTTATAGTAAAACAACGATAATTAAATCATATTATTAAAAAAAAAAACTGTAAGCAAAAGAAAGCAGGTGAAAAACATACAGAGAGTGATAATGAAAGGATGATCACGTGCAACCGGTTAATGTTAGGCCTATTAATTATCTGTTCAAATAATAATATTATATTATTATAATAAAGAATAATATAATTATTTATAGGCTAGAAATATACACGGTTGAAGTCAGTATTATTAGCCTCCCTGAATTATTAGCCCCCATTTTTTACCCAATTTCTGTTTAACGGAGAGATTTTTTCAACACATTTCTAAACATAATAGTTTTAATAACGAATTTCTAATAACTGATTTATTGTATCTTTGCCATGATGACAGTAAATATTATTTGACTAGATATTTTTCAAGACACTTCTATATAGCTTAAAGTGACATTTAAAGGCTTAACTAGGTTATTAGGTTAACTAGGCAGGTTAGAGTAATTAGGCAAGTCATTGTATAACGATGGTTTGTTCTGTAGACTATCGGAAAAAAAAATTAGCTTAAAGGGGCAAATAATTTTGACCTTAAAATGTTTTTAAAAAAATTAAAAACTGCTTTTATTCTAGCCTAATTAAAACAAATAAGACTTTCTCTAGAAGAAAAGATATTATCAGATATACTGTGAAAATTTCCTTGCTCTGTTAAACATAATTTAGGAAATATTTAAAAAAAGAAAAAACAAATTCAAAAGGGGGCTAATAATTCTGACTTTACTGTATATTAGTGTGTACCCAGCATTAGTAGAGTTGCAATGCATTCTAAATCTCTATGAGGAAAACCAAATGGTGGTATTGTATTGGTTTACTGCTCAATGTTCTATCTAAGATTTGAAGAAAAACCTGAAAACACTGATGTTCAGTACCTGAAATGGCCAGCTGTTGAATCTTGAACTGGATGTTGATTGTGGGGTTCTCATCAGGTTTGGAGGCTCCAGCCTGAAGACTCATGGACCCTTTTAAACTCGGCAGTTTCTGAGGGTTTATCTTCCCCACATCCCATGACAAAAGCTGAAAATGACACAAATTATGCCAAAATTATGCCAAATAGAGCTCTACTATTGATGATTAATTTGACCATAATTCTTTTGGTGTGCTTTCTCACAACATGTGTGGCTGCCTGAACACATCTGATCACATTAACATCTACACTATAAAAGCAATCAAACTAAATGTGCTTTCGACTACTCCTGGATGTCGTCATACACTTGTGGTTGGTTGATTAATAAAGCATCTTAAGAGCATGTGCAAACAACAGGGCCTTCATGAAAAAAATGATGCAGCTACAGACAGTCTTATATTGTATAATACTTTGTAATTAGCTTTTTATAGATCTAATTGCAGTCAGTTGAGCATTTCTTTGCTTTAGATGGGCAAAATAAAAGTACAATACTTTATACAAAGAAATAAATATAACACTTGACAATAGAGATGCACCGCAAGGTTTGTTTTGGGGGTTTTTGTGTGGATATTCAGTCTTATTCAGATACCGATGTTGATCATTTGCATTCAGAACTAGTTCTCTTTCCATTACTGAGCATGGGTCAGATCTATTTAACATTCAACTGTATAACACCACAAGTTCAGATAAAAAAACATACAGTATTACAATCTTCAAACATGAATTCGGGTATTCAACATTTCTTTTAACAAAAGTAACTATTATTTGACATATAAGAGAACATATTTATTCAATCAGCTTTACAAATAAAGCCAGAGCTATTGCTGTATGTATATTATACACTTTGCTGCTCCAGAAAGATATTGACTCTAAAGTGCAGTCAGTTTTTTTTATTGTTAAAGACATTTGACTGCAAAATAATCAATGTTTTATGAGCATTTTTTATACACTATTTAGCTGAATTCTAATACTGATATTGGTCAATTGCATTCAGTACTAGTTTTTCTCTATTAAAGTGGTTTTGCTGAACAAGTCAGATCCATTTACATTCAACTGTCTAACACCACAAGCAAACAAAAATAGAGTATGACAATCTTCAAAGGTAAATTTTGCTATTCAGCATTTCTTTCAACAGCAGTAACTATTATTTACCATATAAGCGAACATATTTATTTAGTCAGCTTTACAAATAAAGCCAGATCTATGGCTGTATGTATATATTTTAAAATTTGACTCTCTAAAGTGCAGTCAGTTTCTTGTATCATTCAAGAGATTTGAGCGCAATCTAATCAATGTTTTGACTAATCTGACATTTTGTACAAACTAGACTGCGTTGTAGTCAAGTTTTTCCGGATATATTCTTCTTTCCAAGCATTCAATAATTTAAATCTAAGAAAAAATTTGGATTATTTAAAAGAAATGGAAATCTTTTTTTTCAAGCAATTAACAAACCATCAGCATTTTCAGTATTTTTATATTACTGCCGATAGCTTTAAATTAATAGACAAATAACAGATAAATATCGGCTGCTGATATATTGGTGCATATCTTCAACAGAACAACATCTATTCAAAAACTATCATAAATATAATAAACTAAAAAATTAAATAAAGGCAAATGTGTCCCAAGTTGACTACACTCATATTAAAACAAACAGAACAACATCTATTTATAAAAATGATAATAATAATTAAAAATAATAATAATAATAATAAGTCAAGTTGATTTCAATCAAATTTCAATGTGAACAGCAGAACAATGCAAAAGAAGCATTTCTTCACCTTTGTGACAGGGTCAAAAGTGTAAGTGCCCTGTGAAGGGTTGAGGTTGGCATTGAGGACGCCCCGCGGCAGCTGACTGCTCACCAGAACTGCTTCCACCACCTTACCCATGGTCTGCTTTGGGCCGAGGGTGAGCTCGAAACGGCCCTGAGAACTGCCTTCTCTAAAGCTGATGTTGTGCTTGACGTACACTGGGATCGCCACCAGGCTGGAGAGTACAGCAAAAAAGCATTCAAATCACTGACATATACACATCAACACAACCGAAAGCCAATACACTTTATTGAACGTGCACATCGACATCACCTATATACAATATAACTGAAGGTCAACTATGCTTATATATGATACCTTTAACTGTTAAAAGCTATTAGTTAATTAGTTCAAGGTTTTAGTAATAAAGTTATAATTTTTTTTATTTTGATTGTAATACAATAATGTGCACATTTTGTAAAGCTGCTTTGAAACATTAAGTCTTGTGAAAAGTGCTACACAAATAAAAGGATTTTTCAACACATTTCTAAACACAATAGTTTTAATAACTCATATTTAATAGATTTGTTTTATGTTTGCCATGATGACAGTGCATCATATTTGACTAAACATTTATTAGAACACTAGTATTCAGCTTAAAGTGCCATTTAAAGGCTTGTTTAGGTTAATTATGCAAGTTAGGATAATCAGGCAACTCATTATATAACGGTGGTTTGTTCTGTAGACAGTTGAAAAATATTGCTTTAGGAAACTAACAATTTTGACCTTAAAAGGATTTTTTAGAAATTAAATACTGCTTTAATTTTAGCAAAAAAAGCGAATATGTTGGGTCTTTCTCACTTCTGTGAGCTGACGTGGTAGGACAGGAGGCGGAAGTTGCCGTCTGGTGGGATAAAAGACAAAATTCGCTCAGCCTCCCAACGCTTGAACCGCACACAGGGATGGAAGCTGACATCATCCAAGAGTCGAGGATTCTATAGAACGACATAAGTAGACAAACACATGTTTGTAAAGGAATATAGTGGGGGGGAAATGTTAGTATACAGTAATAATAACTATATAACAATCATCAACTTGAAAGTGCACTTAATTTATACCTCACTGAATGCCTACTATTGTAGAATTAAATAGTAATCTTGAATAATGAGCATGTTTAATTTTTTTTCTTTTTTTTCAGGTAGCATTAGTAGGTTTAATGTCTAAACTTGCCTTAATTTTAGTTAATTGCCTTTTAAAATATGTTATCAAGTTATAAAGTGTGGAAGCTAGTGGAAAAAGAGCTGGTGGGAAGTACTTTTTAGGTTTAATTTTAAGTTTAGTTTAGTTTTATCGTATATTAAATTTAGCTTTACATCGACTATACATTTTTTAAATATTTTTAATTTTAGTGCTTGTGTTAGTTTACAACGTCAAATTTATTATATTTAGAGAGTTTCATGGCACATCATCAGTCGACCACGTTAAAAAGCAAAATGTAAACAATGCGACTGAACTGAAATTTTGGTATTTATTACCTCTGAAAATGACCACTTACTGTAATGTTTTAGGCTGTACTAATCAGTCAGACTAGGAAATAAAACATCTAGACTATTATAGGACTCCCAAAAATTATAACAAATAAAGTGGAAGATAAAAAACACTGGAACAAGTTGTGTTTTTGGTTGGTCAAACTAAACAAGGCTTTGTCATTTGTAATAATAAAAACACACACACACAAAACTGCACGTGTGCCCACTTGGTATAAAGTGTGGAAGCTATGGAAAAGGATTTTTTTTACCTTTAACTTTGAGTTTAGTTTGTTTCATCTAATATTAAATATTTAGCTTAACGACTAACAGGATACCTTTTTAATAATTGCACTTTTAGTGCTCATGTCAGTTTACATCAAGTCAAATCTATATTGTTTAGAGTGTTTCAAGAAGAAGGAGAGGAAAAAATGTAAACAACGCCATCGAACTGGACAAAAACTTGCAAATTTTGAAGATAACTGCCTCTGTAAATAACCACTTATTGTTATGTATTAAGCTGAAACATTTAGAGTACAACAAGACTGCCAAAAGTTATAAGAAATAAAGCATAAGAAGAAGAAAAACTTTCTGAAGAACAAAAAGCGCTGGTAAATAGTCAAATTGACCAAGGAGATATATATATATAATTTATATATCTCCTTGGTCAATTTGACTATTTACCAGCGCTTTTTGTTCTTAATTAAAGTATTAGGCCAGTACCTTATTTAATACTGCTCCTACATATATTTTATCACTTATTAAATTCAGTTTGTCAAAACATTGCAACTTTCGCTGCTTACCGAGTCCTTCTCTATATAATTTAGCAGCTTCCACATATTTTTCCTCATGGTTACAGTGATAAAACCTATTTATAGTTTGCTTTTTAACACAATTTAAAATAAGCTTTAGAGATGATGCTTATAATTTATGTTAACTGCATTTGAAGCTGTGTGAAAACATACTTAATATTTTGCCATAGTCAAAGTAATCAAGCAGTTTAGATATGCTACATGGGTGTATTGCTCTATGTAAGCTCTTTCACTTTTATATGTATTGCATAGAGATAAAGATAGATAAACACCCAAATTTATGTAGTTGGTCAATTATATTATTACAGTTTGCACCAAAATATGTCAAGCAATGAACAATTTATGTGCATGTACTGTATTTATATTATATTATATTAGTATTTAATAACACGCATTAAACATTCGTTGCTCCATGCACTAAACCCCTTTAATAAAAGTTTTATTAATTATATTAATTGTAATGTTAAATCTTTATACATTTATTCATTTTCCTTCTGCTTAGTGTCTTATTTATCAGGGATCACCACAGTGGAATAAACCGCCAACTACTCTGGCATTTGTTTTACACAGCAGATGCCCTTTCAGCTGCAATCCAGTACTGGGAAATCCGTGTACTTGACCACTATCATTTAATTTGACCTATTTGTCAGATTCTTAAGTTTTTAAGCATTAAAATGTAATCAAATTTTGCATTTTCACATATAATTTGCATATCGCAATAAACACAGGTCAGAATCACACCAAATAATAATTGAATATTATTTTATATATATTTTGAAATGTAACTTTAACAAGGTGTAACCCCCATAAAATAATGAATGGGTGTAGATAAAACAGAGACAGATAAAATTAGATAAATGTATTAAAATAAAATGTATAAAAAATGTTAAAACATGTATATGCGAGTTATAATTCTCTGATTGGGTGTCAGCAGTCTAAGTCAGCAAATGAGAGCGCTGGATGCTCATCTCCGCCCCCTTGTGGTTGCGGATATTATTGAAACATTTTTTATACATTTCATTTTAATACTTATTTAAGCATCAACACTTTAACACTATTATAATGATGATGAGGTGTACATTTATTTATTATTTTATCTGTTTTATCTAATTTTATCTGTCTTATCTATTTTATCTGTCTTATCTGTTTTATCTACACCCATTCATTATTTTATGGGGGTTACAAAAGGGTAATTATACATTTATACATGTCTGTGTCTCTGTGTGTGTGCGCATGGATGTATCTGGGTAAGGCTGTGAATACAGTAACAGTAATTGATCAATTATTTAACAAATAAATAATAATAGATTATTGTTGTTTGTTCAAGTAAAATGTGACATTGTTTGAAATGAAAATGCCCAGATTTACCATAAACGACAGGGTGAGATCTGGCATCCCTGTGAGTTTCACACATGCGTCTATCACTCCCTGTATCTCAGCTGTGATGGTTGAACCTAGTATGGAAAAGCAGAAACATAAATAAATGATTTACTGATTCATTTTATGGTTTTATCTGTAAACCGTCACATACTGCAGGATAAAAAGACCTACCTGATTTGTCAATGATAGCATCGATTTCTTCCACCACATCGAAATAAGCTTCGTTGTTGGTATATTTAACACCTGTTCTCCGCCACGGTACCACTGATAGCTGACCTGTAGGAAGCTGCTCACCAACATTAGTACTTCCTGTGAACAAATAGAGGAAATTATTAAAGGAGACCCTTATGACCCTTTTTATAAGATGTAAAATAAGTCCTTAAATAAGTGTGTATGTGAAGTTTCAGCTCAAAATACTACACAAATAATTAAATTTAAAGGGGGGAAATAAAATATAATACAATAAAAATAAAACAAAGGGAATTTTTTTTATTTTAAATTAATGTAAATGGGGGAAATAAAAAAGAAACATGGAAAACAAATAAAATTATATTAAAGAGGGAAAAATAAAATAAAAATATCTTAAAGTACAAAGTGTAATATAAAAAAATAAAAAGTAAATTTAATTAAATTAAAGAGGAAAATTTTTTTTTTTAAATTTAATTAAAGTGGGAAAAATGTAAAAAATAAAAAAAAGAGGCAAAAAATTCAATTAAATTAAAATTTTATTAAAAAGGAAAGAATAAATCAAATAAAACAACATAAAATATAAAATAAAATAAGGGCAAAACAAATTAAATAATGTTTTTTAACTGCCCCTTTTAGGTTTTAATCCTAATTTTGCCGTTTTGGTGACTGTCGCTTTAAATTCAAATGAGATTGTGCTCTTTTCAAAAAAGGGCGGAGCTATAAATGCCTATGTGTCAGAATAGTGGCAGATTCGAGAACAAGACCAAACCTCTTATGCTAATGAGGGGGAGATCTTCACTAATGGGCGAGGCTTACTCCATTTGATAACACATACAAAGTGATAATGTCATAATCAAAGTGTTTCCTTTTTCAAGCGTGCTTATAAACAATAGAATGAATACATTTTTACTATTAGAGGCTGATTATATTCACAAACTGTTGTCACACAACTGTGTTTAAACCCTGTATAAAAGTGATGTTTCCATAACAGCTCCACTTTAATATGGCTTTAGAAGCTGACAGAAATAAATCACACCACAAACTAACAGAGATTACCTGTGATGGTGTTGACCACTGTGCGCAGGATGGTAGGAGGTTTAATGAGCTCTTTTAGGATGTTTGATTCGGTGGCCAGGGGGAAGCCATTATCCAGCATCTCCTCCAGCAGCTCATAGACTACAACTACATTGTCTTTAATAGCAGCCTCTGTGCACACCCCAAAATAGTCCTAAAGGGAAACATTTAACACACGTTATTGAATGTTTTCAGGAGTAGTGGTTTAATGTAATGCTTTACATTACATTCAATAATACATTAATGTGAAGTATTTTATATTAGTTGCTGCAATCAAATTGGATTATTTAAGGTAACTTAGAATACCTTGCATAAAAATACGCTTCTACAAAATTATGTTGGAGCCTCATAACACATCTGTGTCTATTTTGACCTTAAAGAAATATATAGTTTTTTTTCCAAAAAACTGCAGTTTAAATAATGGAACTAAACTTTGCACATGAAAACCATTAAAATGAGTCTGCCAAGGTGCAAACATTAAGTCTTTAACTGTTGACTGTTGTCATTTTCCTCTCATCTCGACTTCAGAGTATTTATTTTCAGTATTTATTTCCACTCCAGCCAATAGCAGAACATCACCTAGTGAAGAGATGCATCTGATTGGTCAAGTTTATATAAACAACCACTGTATAAAAAAAACATAATTTATTATCACACGTCTCCAATGTGTACTCACCGGCCACTTTATTAGGTACACCTGTCCAACTGTTTGTTAACGCAAATTTTTAATCAGCCAATCACATGGCAGCAACTTGATGCATTTTCGCTTGTAGACATAGCCAATACAATCTGCTGCAGTTCAAACTGAGCATCAGAATGGGGAAGAAAGGTTGGTGCCAGAGACGGGCTGGTCTGATATTTCAGAAACCGCTGATCTACAAGGATTTTCATGCACAACCATCTCTAGGGTTTACAGAAAATGGCCTGAAAAATATGGCTATTTCTAGCAGCATAACACATTATGTCATTAAGTGTGAATCATCTCAGACTGGTTTCTTGAACATGACGATGAGTTCACTGTACTCAAATGGCCTACAGAGTCACCAGATCTCAATCCAGTAGAGAACCTTTTGGATGTGGTGGAACGGGAGATTCGCATCATGGATGTGCAGCCGACATATCTGCAGCTACTGTATGATGCTATCATGTCAACGTGGACCAAAATCTCTGAGGAATATTTCCAGTACCTTGTTAATTCTATGCCACGAAGGATTAAGGCAGTTCTGAAGGCAAAAGTAGGTCCAACATGGTACTAGTAAGCTGTACCTAATAAAGTGGCCGGTGAGTGTACATTGCACACTCTGTGTACATATGCAATTCTGTAAAGTAATAACATTATCAAAAACTTGACTCTATTACTACTCATGGAATATGAGTATAATGGCTTAATCCCTTTATTCATCCAGGGTCGCCACAGCGGAATGAACCGCCAACTTATCCAGCAAGTTTTTTTTTTACGCAGTGGATGCCCTTCCAGCCGCAACCCATCTCTGGGAAACATCCACAAACACATTCACACATCACACACTACGGACAATTTAGCTTACCCAATTCACCTATACCACAAGTCTTTGGACTGTGGGGGAAACCGGAGCACCCGAAGGAAACCCACACGAAGGCAGGGAGAACATGCAAACTCCACACAGAAACGTCAACTGAGCCGAGGTTCGAACCAGTGACCCAGCGACCTTCTTGCTGGGAGGCGACAGCACTACCTACTGCGCCACTGCCTCGCCCCACTTTGTATATTAGGTATATTATTTGTATATTAATTTATAATCACACTCCGTAGCCAGCCTGGTGAAAGGGGTCATTCTTTTTTTTTTTTTCTCAAAAGAACTTTTTTCTATTTAATTATGGGATTTAAATACTGCATTTTAGTGACATTTTAAGCACTATTCTGAATTGGCTTGTCAGATGGTGATCATAACCATTTTGACTATTTTAGCCAAAACAGTTTTCAAATCAATTTTAATATGGGCCGCTTTTGGTGCTTCACACCTTTTTATTGGTCTTATTTTGTCCAAGATTTATAATAAGTTACTTGTAAACTATTTTCTTGCACAGCTGGATGTTGGCCTCATGAAAAATATGTTAGCGTTGTTGGCCAGAACTGATTAACTGAAGTCACACCAGCCAACAGATGATTCTGCTTGGTCTTAAAGCCTTTTTTGACGGCTTATTTTCACCATTACAGCATAGCAGTCAAAATAGGACAATTGAGCTCATGTTTGGGACAAATTCTGGACCTTTGTCAGTGAGGGGTGGGTTTTCCGAACCACCGGAACGCCCCCTGGCTACAGGCCTAATTATATACCGTGGTACATGGTATATATCAACATGGTATTATTCACCATCACTAAAGCAAAATTATGAAACCCAAACAAACCTGAAAGGTGTCGACCACACGATGGAGGAACTCGATGACAAACAGCGGCGGCACCTCGCTCTGTATCACGGCCACGAAGTAGATGCGATGGCGGAGCACGTTGATGAGGTAGTGATGCGGCGTCGGGATCACCGGAGGTACGTTCTCCGGTTCCGTGGCGCGCTCCAGGGCCTCGAAGAAGTAGTCACATACAGATCGGCTGACCACACTCTTCCAGTGCTTCTCCAGAAAGATGTCCCCCGATGCGTTAACGAGGAATAGACTGTGGATCATCGTGGCAGCTAGAAAAACGATACAAGAAAAGAACAGTACTTTATATTTGAATGAAACCTGCTCGGTCTCAGGTCGTTCAGGCAATAACTGAACAGCAACCTGCCAGCATCCTTACAGGTAACGTAACTGATAGGAGGCCGCTGGGCTCATTTAATATTCTACGTGCCTATCTAGTTACCGGATGGAAAGATAGTTGTTTTAAAAAGCAGCCCGCTCGGATGAAACTAAATGAACTTGCTGTTAACAGAATCACATCATCATCATCATCCTCCCTCTATCTGTTTTTCTCCTCCCCTCGCTCGCATCACAGGACAGTCTTGTGACAAGCTGCGGATTAAAAAGGTTCATTCATTTCGCATTTTCAGCCGGTCGTTTGTTTGTCTTTGGGTGTGGATGTGCACATTGTAAAGAGGAATTAATACTTACGATTTCTGGATTCTTATGTCTCCCACCACTTCCCAGTATTTTGTAATAAAGCAGAATCTGAAATATCGCTTCCTTCTCCGTTATACTGAGACGAGAACATGTACGATCGACGTCTCGGTTGGCCAATGGTGGGTCACGTACTGCACGTGCGCCCGCCCACTTCAAATATGATTGGCGCGACGTGCGGAAGCAAGTGAAAGATAATACTGGAGCTTCATTGGACAGTAGCAAAAAAACGTCAGTGCACATTGTTGTTTTATTGGCTCAAGGTGAGACGCTTGTGCTCCGAGTCTTGACAAAGAAAACTGATACCAAGTGCTAACAAACATTCATGAATGTACTGCATATTGCACTTATAGGTCAACAACAGTACATATCAACTCGTATGTTGGTATATAATCCTAAAAGGCAGGCTTTCAAAAAGGTTTGTGATTGTCATAAATGTAGCTAAATATTGTCAAGGTAATTATACTAGACTACTGGAGTTTTTTTTTGCACTTCAACACACGAGTTTGTCTCCTTAAAGCTTATACTGTTCTCTATGTGCGTCTCATTGCAAACAAAATGAAACAAGATTATAATAAAGCTTTTGTTTTAGTAACATTTTAATATTAGTAAATTTATATTCAATACTGTTCACGTTTCAAACTGTGACCTAAAATTAAGAGAAATTGTCAAATTTTTCCATGATCTGGCTGCTGATAACTAATGATAATAATGATAGTTAAAGGGTTTGCACTTTATTTATTTTTTACAGTATTTACCTAAGAACAAACTGGTTTATACAAGTTAAATATATGGGTTAAGGTGAGGTTCTGGGGTCGTACATGGTTGTTTACCGGTTTATGCAATGAGTGTACGCATAGTTAGGACAGAACTGTAAAATACAGAGCTACTGAATTATGAACTATAGTCTAGAAAAAAATCCAATCAAATAAAACATGAAAAGAACTCTAGATATAAAACTACTTTAGTCATCGCCTCACGACACAACAGTATAAAATACGGACATTTTCAAATCTATAGTTGCATCACAGAGAACACTGTTATAGTGCAAAATACAAAAAAAAAAAAAAATCTCATACAAAAAAGCCTATTTAAATGTTATATATATATATATAATCTGCATATGGCACAATGCAATTAAATGCTTAAACTTAAAACACAGAATGCTCTTAAATGCCAAAATTTGAGTTACAGTAGTTACGAAAACATTTACTATACATTTTTTTTATTGAAAGAAAAATTATTTGAGACTTTAATTTTTCTCCATGAACCTCTTTCCCCTTCAATAAATAAATAAAACAATAATTTATATATAAAATCAAATAAGTTAATTAAATTATTAATAAACTAAATAAATTTTTATTTAGTCATTTATTTATTTAATGGCTTTATTTAGTTTTGATAGTACAGTGATGACATTAATGTTTGAGTTTGATTGCATTATCCTTTTAAGCATAGACCTTTAATTTCCGTTTTAGTTTGGGGGGAGTGTTACGCCTTTTTCAAAGAATTAGATCATTTGTATTCCTTACTGTATAAAAACGTTTAGTAGATCCTTTATGAGAGTATTTAATTTTCTACAATCTTAAAAACAGCATCATATCACTAAACCAGAGTGAAACTAAAGGTGGTTTACTTGATTTCCAATCAAGCAATATTTTTCTGCGAGCCTAAGACATGTGCAGACATAAGTGTCTTGATAATTATTGGACATGACTGTACCTTGTACTCCAAAAACAGCTATTTTAAAACTAGGCCTACTGTCTTTATTATATGCCTCGAACAGAGTTTTGTTTATGGTTGTCCATTCTGCGTGGAATTTATCTAGATTAATATTTTTTATTGACATTAAAGTGTTATATACATTAGAAATGACTCCCTTCAAATGTAAGAGAATGTCATGTAATACTGCTTTACCATACATTTCTATTCATTTTCAAGACTTCACAATCTGCATTAGGGAGTGAAAATGTAAACAAATTACATGTGTCAAAGTTACAGTGCAGATTAGGCATGGGATGATAAATGTTTTCAAGGTATACAGCGGTTTGGAAAAGTCAAGGTTAAAAAAAATAAATAAATAAAAAATAAATTCTGTAATACTGTTCCTAAAATACGAGTAAGATTTTGTATTTACATTTTTTTTTTTTTTGTTTTATTAAGACAACAGTATCTCCAGCAGAAAAAAAATGTCCAAAGATGGCGTTTTAAATGGTAAAGAAATCTGTGCTTTTGAAACTAATAAAGACAGAAGTCAATTCATATTTTGAATCATTTAGCCTGACGTGTTTAATGTTACAAACTATTAGAAATCTTTATATATATATATATATATATATTGTTTTCAAAGAGGAAAAAAAAAGTTTTTGTTTTTACAGACATTAAAAAAAAAAAATAAATTTAGAGCAGTAAGAACAATACCTATATTTTTATCCAAGGTTATCATACTGTCAGCATTTTAAACCAGCCCATGCCTAGTGCAGACGTTCTAATTAAGTAGTGTATAAACTAATAAGAATGTTTATTAAATAATCTTGAGTTGGCTAAATGTAAAAAACGACACATGCTCTTACCATATCCTAACTTTAAATTGATAGAGCATGACTTAATAAAGTAGGAGAAATGGCTTCTTAGTAATGAATCCCCAAGAAACACAGTAACAAGTGAAATGGCTCAACATAATTTATTTTTGTTTCATGTTAAAATGTACAGAGTTCTTTGAAAGTACTTGCTAAGAAAAAGAAAAGAAACAAATAAATGGAAATACATACAAGGACAAAACAGAGAGGAGTGGAAGGTGGGCGCTTCCGACCATCACCGAGCGCCCCAGCTTGGCTCTCTCTCTCTCTCTTTCTCCGGGCTACCAGGCTCTCTCTTAGCTTACAACTCACCATGTACAATTACAAAGTATACGAAAAGGTAAGCAATATAAACAGACAGAAATATACTGAGCTCATTTTTACATGCCTCATAGATGTAAGGAAGTTGTCCTATACACACACAATAACCAAGAAAAGAAAAAAAAACAACCAAAAAAAAAAATAATAGAAAATAACGCTAAGTGACCTTTAGATATCTGTTTTTTCCTTTTGTTTTTAAAATAGCATTAATATACTACACAAAGATAGAAAACTCTAGAGATGAGATGGAATGGAAAGGTTAAAGGCATCTTAAATTCACTAAAAGTGAGTTGTCATTTTTTTTAGTTTTGAATTTCTTAATAATATTACCCCAAGAGTCGAGCTAAAAAATATGCATTGTTTTTTTTTTCCTGAAACAGAAGTGAAAAAAATGACAGTACCAATATCCATGTCAGAATTCTTCTTTTATATTTTAGAAAAAACATTTTTCTCTACAATAAGTCTTCTAAAGTCAAAAAGAGTCAGCTTGTGTCATAAAAGAAAGCTGCCCAGTCTGATAAAATTCAGAAAAACAAAAGCGCACAAATAATATATGAAACGTCAGGTCTCCGAGAAAGATTCCTCAAATCGACAACGAATACTGGAACATTAAGAAATTCTCTGCCCGTTGTCCTAAAACAGTAACCGTCTCAGGACGTCATGCACTTTAACCTTTATCCTGGGTATGAGAGTGTTCATTTGTCCATGTGTGCATTGCAGACATGAATCAACATATTTGTACAGCTCCCTCTTGTGGCTAACAGCTAACATCACAAGCGCATGATCAGCTGGAGTACGAGCAGCGCTTCTTACTGGTGCTACAGTAAGGACTACTTCAGGAGACATCGGCAACTTCTCTTTGCGATGCTAAGTCTGCTCCTGCATGGTTAAACCCTTTTTACCCACACACGTTATTTGGACGCTGCACTGTGTAGTATGAAATTAAAGACCTTCCCATCTAGGATAGCTGCGCCCTCTGGGGACATCTGTGGAGTGTATGTGAACGTGTTGGATTTTGCCAGGCTGTGCTGTGAACCAGGTAGTACCAGAATATTTACATTAACTATTGTTGGGTCCGGTCTATGGATGCGTGGTGTTTATTATGAGATGCTTGTTTGAGCTCTTAACACTGGATATACATGGTTCCATACTGGGAAGACACAGATTTACAGAAAAATCGGACACGGTGCGTCCCGACAAGTGCCTCCAGGTGAGCTCTCAAGTGGCTATGTAGCTGTGTGTGAGTGAATGAGTGTATGAATGAGCGAGCGTGAATCACTTTGTCCAGTACAGCCACACACATAAAGCATGAGAAGGTCAGACTGAAACGAGCATTTCAACAGTCATTGGAAAAAAAAGAACATATTAAAAATAAAGAAAATAATAATAATAATATAATAAAAAAGAAAAAAAAAGTCCATCTACAATTATTTTGTCTCTTTTTAGGTAAGGCTTCCTATGTCAATTGAACGATTGTGTGCATGATTCAATGTATGTTCATTAACGACGTAAATTTATTTCTCTCTCAGTTTGAAAAGTTAGGTCCACTTCCCCTGTAACTGCTTTGATGCTTCGCTCCTGTCTCACGAATGGAGTGGAGGACATTTTGGTGGACCAACCCTTGTTGGTACAACCATGACAGACAGGGTCTGTGGGTGGGAGCATGACACTTGCCGTAATAAAGGTCCACTAGATCATCTCCCTGATCAGGCTATCATCAACTCCCCAGCTCTGTCAGCATTGGGGAAATGAACCTAAAAGGAACAGAGCTTTGACGACAACATATTTAGAAAGGAAAAGAATTTGTCGCAGTCTCTATGTCCTCTTCCTCCACCAAGCTCACTTGTTGCCTTTTTGCCCAGACGTTGGAGGGTGGATACAAATGGATTAAGTACAGAGATGCAGAGTCCGGTGGGGTACGTCTCTCAGCTCTCTGCTCATTCTCTGGTGCTCATCTGCTCATGTAAGGCGACTGTTTGGGGACGCCAGCGTAGCTGTGGTGCGAGGGGCCCGTGTACATCATGTTGCCATGGTGATTGGGCTGCATAGGCTGCTGAGGGTAAGCCTGCCCTCCCATCATTCCCATTTGCATTTGCATGGGGTATTGGGCTGGCTGGTTCATATAGGGCGGGTTACTGTGGTACCCACTGTTC